TTTGAAGAATGAATTAAAACCTGGTAGTTGTTTTGTGAGTATTTTGGGAAGTCTAAACTCGGCAGCAAATTAGATAAAGCTTTAAAGCAAATGTGTAAGACGTAAATACTTATTAAATGACTTTCCTTCGAATAATAAATCCAGAGCAGGTGCATGGGAGTTTAAACTTCACACAACTGAGTTAGATTTTTTGCTCCTGGATTTTCGGTTTTTATGCAGAATACAGATATTTTTTGAGACAGGATTATGTTCTCACTTTATACAAACATTTTATAACACTGGTGTTTGGGACAGACATTTCGACAATTTCTCTCATTGTCATCGTGCAAAAAACATTTGATTAGCGACAGATTAAAGTGCTTATACGAATATTCTTATTCAATCATAGCATGCGTTTTGAAGATTATTGAACATAGGGAAACCAAAATTGTACTTGAATGTATCCAAGGAAAGCGACTATTAGGGTCTTGATATATTCTGGCTTTTGGAAGTATCTGGTAATAGTCATGCTATTTGCTGTCTCTCTCCTTCTCACTTAATTTCTGTCCTTTACAAAGTTATCAACATTCTCTGAAAAAGTACCCGTTTTGCCTCAGCTAGTCCCTTTAGCAACGTGCCTTACACTTCAACAATCCATTGCGTAAAGAAATTTCTCACAACCTCCCTACTCACTCTTCATTGCAATTTTAAAGTGATGGCCACTTAATGCTGTCTTACAAACAAAAGAAAATAGGCTATTCCTAGTAAGTCTAACAAATCCATTCACATTTTTGAAAAGATCAATAAAATTTCCTTAGTATATAGCACATTCAAATTAGGAGCACTCTTCAGCCCCTCCAGTCTGCCCGACCATTCAATAGGTTCATGGCTGATCTAATTATAACCTCAAATACATATTCCCCTTACCCCTGTTTAACTATTTACTTCCTTGGGTAAGAAAAATCTATCTGCCTCTGCCTTACACAGTTATAGAACCATGCAGCACAGAAACAAATCCTTCAGTCCAACTTGTCTGTGCTGACCAGACATCCCAATCTGACCTAATCCCATTTCCCAGCATTTGACTCATATCCCATTAAACCCTTCCTATTCATATACGCATCCATGTTCCTTTTAAATCCTGTAATTGTACCCGCCTCCACCACTTTCTCTGGCAGCTTATTCCATACACGCGTTGTACACAGTATTCCAAAAGTGACCTCACCAATATCCTGTACATCCTCAACTTGATGCTCCAACTCCTGTACTCAATGCAGTGACCAATGAAGGCAAGCGTGCCAAATGCGTTCTTCACCACCCTGTCCACCTGTGACTCCACTTTCAAGGAACTGTACACCTGCACCAATAGGTCTCTTTGTTCAACAACAGTCCCCAGGGCCCTACCATTAATTGTGTAAGTCCTACCCTTGTTTGCCTTACCAAAATGCAACACCTCACATTTTTCTAAATTTAAACTCCATCTGACACTCCTCGGCCTATTGGCCCATCTGTTCAAGGTCCCATTGTACTCTGAGATAATCATCACTCCACTACATCACCTATTTTGGTGTCATCTGCAAACTCATTAATCATACTTCCTTTATTCACATCCAGACCATTTATAGAAATGACAAAATGCAATGGACCACAGATCACATGCTTCCAGTCTGATAACCCTCCACCAACAGCCTTTGTGTCCTACCTTCAAGCCAATTTTGTATCAAAATGGCTAGCTCCCCTTGGATGCCATGAAGTCTAACCTTACTAACCAGTCTACTAAGTGGAATCTTGTTGAATACTTTGCTGAAGTACATCTAAACAACGTCTACCATTCTGCCTTCACCAATCATCTTTGTCAGCTCTTCAAAATACCCAAATCAAGTTAGTGAGACTTAAACTATTCAAGGACTGTGCTACACCACCTTTACAAAAGAAAAATATTCTATGCCCATGAAAACTGCCTCAGTGTCTCAAATCTCTCCTCATATCTATAGCTCACTACCCCAGCATCAATTTGCTAAATCCATGCCGCATGCTCTATGGCTTTAATGTCCTTTCAATATTGAGGATTTTAAAATTGCAATTAATACCTTACATATGGCTAAACATTTGCTTGAACAAATTTGTCACCATGTCTCAAATCTTCCAGTTTGTCCTCCCATTTATGTCAAAATGACTTGGAACACTCATGTCATTGTCTACATGCAAAAGGAAGGTCCAAGTACAGTATATTTAAATTACATAATTTTCCTGTTCATCCAAATTCTTCAGCATTTTTCCATTGAGTGCTTACTTCCATTCCTTGTTTGACTCCAGTTCCTTATATTACACAAATTTTGTCATCTCTGCCAGTTATTTTACACTGTTCCTCAATATTTAACAATTTTCAGTCATCAGCAAATAGTCATAGAGTCATACAGCACGGAGACAGGCCCTTCGGTTCAACCAGTCTATGCCGACCATGTTCCCAAACTAAACTAGTCCCACCCGCAGCTTTATAAGACTTTGGTTAGGCCACACTTTTAGAGTATTGTGTTCAATTCTGGTTCCCATCTTACAGGAAGGATGTGAAGGCTTTGGAGAGGGTGCAGAAGAGATTTGCCAGGATTCTGTCTTGATTAGAGGGTATGAGCAAAAAGGAGAGGCCAGAAAAACTCAGGTTGTTTTCTCTTGAACGGCATAGGCTGAGGGGAGACTTGATAGAAGCTTATAAAATTATGTGATGCATAGATAGAGTTGACGATCAGAATCTTTTCTCCAGCATTGAAATGTCTAATACTAGGGGGCCTGCATTTAAGGTGAGAGGGGGTAAGTTCAAAGGAGACATAAGGGACAGGTTTTTTATACAGATAGTGGTAGGAGTCTGGAATGCACTGACAGAGGTGGTGGTGGTGGAGGCAGATAATTTAAGAGATTTTTAGATAGGCACTTGAATATTGCAAGGAATGGAGGGATATGGACTGAGGGCAGGCAGAAGGATTTAGTTTCATTTGGTGTCATGTTTGGCACAACATCGTGGGCCAAAGGACCCATTCCTGTACTATACAGTTCTACATTCTATGCCAGTACTTGGCTCATATCCCTCAAAACCTTTCCTATTCATAAACTTATCCAAATGTCCTTTAAATGTTGTAACTGCACCTTCATCTAACGCTTCCTCTGGCAGTTCTTTCATACCCTAGCCACTCTCTATGTAAGAAAGTTGCCCCTCATGTCCTTATTAAATCTTTCTCCTCTCACCTTAAAAATATGCCCCCTGATTTTGAACTCACCCACCCCAGGGAAAAGACCCTTGTCATTCACCTTATCTATGCCCCTCATGACATTACAAACCTCTATAAGATCATCCCTCAAACTTCTATGCTGTAGTGAAAAATGTCGCAGCCTTTCCAGTTTATTTTTATTTCTCAAGCCCTCCATTCTCAGCAATATCCCAGTAAATCTTTTCTGAACCTCCTCCAGTTCAATAATATCCTTCCTATAACATCATGTTCATTATGCCCAAATTTAAATCATCTATATAGTCAGAGAAGAAAAGTGGTGCCATAATATCTCCTGAAGCCATCACTTACAACTCTCTTTAAACCAAGCAAGATCCATTTATTATAATCATTTGGTCATCATATATTCTGTCTACTAACTTCTTATCTATGCGACTGCATTTTCCTATACCATGCACTTGAATTATTGCAATGACAAACACTTGAAAGTACACCTATTGCCTTTCCATCATGTGTACAGTCATATAGACTGATAAAATCCTTGAATTTTCAGCACAGAAGGATATCTTTCAACCTATTGTTCCTTTGCTGCCTTCCCTTGAAACAGTCATCAAATTAAACTCACTCGCTTGGTCTTTTTGACAAATTTCTCCTCAAGTATATATTCACTTTTTTTTTGCAAGCTACTACTGAAAATATTCTAGGTTTTTCTATGTCAGAATAATTATAAAAAAGGAAGTTGATGGTGAGAATGAAGTTCAGTGGTTGCACATGAGCATGGACTTGTGGTATCAGAATTAGGATGGGAGAAGAATGTGCTGAGATTTGTAAACAAAACTGCTGATTTCTACACCTCAAAAGACTAGTTGGGAGAGGGAAGGATCATGCCAAAGTGGAAGTCAATGAGAATGCAGTTGATGGCCAAATGATTGGTGATGTTTTAAATACATTGTGAAATAGCTACAGACAAGCAAAACATTCATTCATGAGGTCAAGGGTATGCCAAAAAGAAGTTTGTATAATCTGAAATAACCTTAGCATCAAGATTAATTTTAATGATTCCAGTGTCACCACATTCATTCTCTTCTTTAGAGTATTTTCTTGTTAACCAATAGAAATCGTCCTTCCTGTACATTCAGATAATGCATGTCTACTCTTTCCTGAGAAAATTTCAAGTGTCATCTGTCCAAATCTCAAGCAAAATCAGTACCTAATGGATAGGAGTCATCTTTTTGACACATTGACATTTGATAAATACTTTGACATTTGCCTCTAGTCGATGTCCTTAGCAACAGCAGCAGAATGAAAATATCCCATGAATATAAGGTGAAATGAATTCAAGAAAAAACTTACATGATAAAATGCTTGGTGTAGGCATAATATATTATTTTGGTCAAATAAACTTAAAAGAATTGTGTATTTAAGCAGAAAATTATTTTCTATTCCAGTTTTCTTGTTTGTTCACTTTCTCCAGTTTTTATCCTTTCTCCCTTCACACCTTTCAGTCATTTTGTCCATGAGACCCACCTTTTGCTCACTCAACCTGCTTCCACTAAACTGCTGTAATTTCTGGAGAAAAGGCTGGGGATGTTGGGTTTATTTTAGTTTGTCAACATTTGTATTTTTCTTTATCCTAAATGTTTTTTCATGTGGTTAGAATAAAACAAAGTTAAATCTTGATGCAAAGTAATTAGTGCAAGGCAATTACTGCTCACTGAAATTATGCGTCAATGTCTATCTTGTATTCATGTTTTGCAGGCATCAGATTTTGGTGGACTTTATAGCATTGAAGAGCTTGCATTGTCTTCATGTGGAATGGAAGCAACAGAAGCACACACATTTTCAACCCTGACAAATCTGAGGACCTTAGAACTATGGAAGAACAAGTTGAGGAGTGTTCCTAGTAAGCTTCCCTCCAATGTGGAAGTGTTGAAACTGGGTAATAATCAGATTCAGGCATTATGTGAGACTGACTTTGAAGGTTTGACAAAACTGAAAATCCTTGACCTGCAAAATAATAAGATCTCCAAAATACATTCTCGTGTTTTATCATCCGCTCTTAAACTGGAAAGTCTTGTTTTGGACAGTAATAATCTTGAGCTATTATCAGGACCATTAAAACTTCCTTATCTGAAACGTTTAAGCATGCAAAATAACAGGCTGTCTTCCCTACCTTCAAATTTTTTCAGTTTTTTACCATCCCTGCGCTTTCTCAGTTTATCAGGAAATATGTTTTGCAAAATCCCACAAAAAATGCCAACTTTATTGTGGTCCTTAAAGATGGACAAAAATCTGATCAATGAATTACAGATACAAGACTTAAAATATCTCAGTTATCTCTTTGAACTCTCCCTTTCTGAAAATCAACTTACAACGGCAAATGATGCACTGGCTTTGACAAACTTATCCATAGTGGATCTGTCTAAAAACCAACTAAAAGCAGTTCCTTCTAAACTGCCAGCACAACTGCAAATGTTGGATTGCAGTCACAACTTCATACAAAAAATTTCACTGCAAGAATTCTCCGGATTGTGTGAACTGAAACATTTGTTTCTGGAGTACAACAACATTATGGTTATCGGCATAGATGCACAGAAGCACTGTTTGCAACTTTCAGACCTTGCACTGGAGCAAAACCAATTGTCATCCTTCCCAAAAGGGTATGTTTTTAGTATTGGGATAGGAGAAAGACAATATTAAAGTTCTGGAGGGGTGATGAGGAATGTTTCTCAGTATTAAGTATTTTTACCAATTTATTGTCAAGCAGAAAATCACCTTTGAATTAAGCATTTTTATCAGTTTTAAGACCAATTATGATTTCAAACAAGGGTTTATAAATGCAACAAATTGTCTCAAGGAGTGGATGTCTCTGCCCCTGTAAGAAGGCAATCATGTCTAACAAGTTTGATTGAAGAATTCAAGGAGGTGGCTAATTGCGTAAATGGAAGTCAGTTGAAACAGTCTACATGGATCTCAGTAATGCTTTTGACAAGGTCTCGCATGGCAGACTGGTTAAGAAACTAAGAGTCCATGATAACCAGGGCAATTTGGCAAATTGGAAACAAAGTTGACAAGTGATAGTTCAAGAGTGTTTTTGTGACTGGAAGCCCATGTCCAGTGGCATACCTTAGGTTTCGGTGCAGGGTCCTTTGCTATTTTTAGTGTACATTAATTACCTTGACATGAATGAGGGAGATATAATCAACAAGTTTGCACTTGACACAAAAATTGGTGGTGTGGTAAATAGCGAGGAAGAAATCCTTGGGCCACAGAATGGTACAGATGTGCTTATCAGATGGACTGAACAGTGGCAAATGGAATTTAATCCTGAAAAGTGTGAGGTGATGCATTTTGGGAGATCTAACATCAGGGGAGTAATACACATTGAATGGTAGAATCTTATGAAGTACAGAGGATCAGAGGAACCTTACTGTATAGGTTCATGGTTCTTTGAAAGCAACAGAGTAGAAAGATAAGATCGTTAAGAATGTATATGGGATATTTGCCTTTATTGGTGAAGGCCTTGAATATAAGAGCAAAGAGGTTATGTTGGAGTTGTATATAATAGTAGATAAGCCACAGTTGGAGTACTGTGAGCAGTTCTGGTTGCCACAGTATAGGAAGAGTGGTATTGTACTAAATGGGGTTCAGAAGAGATTCACCAGGATATTATCTGGGCTGGAATGATTTAACTATGATGAAAACTAGATAGGCTGGGATTGTGCTGAGGAGTATTTGACTGAGACATACAAAATTCTGATGGGCATAGACAGAGTAGATAGGGAGAATTTATTTCCCTTAGTAGAGGGGACAATAACCTAACGGGCTAAGGTAAGCAGCAAGAGGTTTAGAGGGGATTTGAGGAAAAGATTTTCACCCAAAGGATTGTGGGTGCCTGGACCTCACTGCCTAAAAGTGCCCCAAGACATTTAATAAGTTTTTAGATGAGCACTTGATATGCTGTGGTATACAAGGTTATGTATAAAGTGCTGGAAAATGAGATTAGAATAGATAGATGTTAAATGATGGGTGCAGACACAATGGGCTGAAGGGCATAAGTCCATGCTGTAATAAACTCCGATTCTATTGGAAAATAAGGAAGTGTAGGATTGATGTGGCATGATATTGATGAATGGAGAATAATGAAAGAAAAACAGAAATGTAAGCAAAGTGAAGTTCTTCAATCTTGCTTCTTCCACATAATGCAAGACTCAGACAAAATAGTTCTCAAGAGGACAGTGAGCTCCTCTTGGCTTAAATAATGTATCACATTCAAAATGAATCAAAAAGAAACAGGTTTTCTTTGAGATACAAAGCAATTCTCAGTACAATTAGTTCAAGTCATAATTTTGGGATACAGGAAGGGAAGGGGTAAGGGATTGTGAGAGTTAGGTAGTCACTGATTTTATTTGATAAGTTGTGGAGAAAAATGTACAATCAGAAAATCATTACAGTATGGAGTAATCACAGGTGGCTGTCATCATACAAAACACATTCTTTTGGAAAATTATAGCAATGTTGAAGGAGCATTGCTGAACATACATTGTAAGGAATTGAATTGTGAGATATCATCTCAGTGCTGATGGAAAATTCACACGGTAGGATTGTTTAGACCTGCAAAAAATTGACAACAAAATATTGGTCAGAGAGTTTTCCTTTGTCACCGGGGAGGAGTGGGGAGAGTAGGCTGGTAAATCTGTAAAACTGAACAGGTCAGATTCCTGGCCAGGAAGCGGGTATCTATTGCTGAAGGTCTGCAGTAACTCACCAGCAGATAAGTACAATGTGATTCTGGAAAATGTGTGAGGCAAAAGAGCCAGTGAACGTGGAAATAAAAACACGTGTTAATTACCAAAAATGAATTGCTTTCTTCTTATTATTCTATCCATTTACAGATCTCCTAGTAGCTGGAATATTTTGAATGAAACTAATGTTGCTGCAGAACTGTCTATGGGACTTCCATATATTTTCAAAATTATCTTAAACATGTTTTGATGAGCATATATGAGGTTTCGCCATGCTGGAGTTGTTTATCACAAAATATGGCACCACAGCACTGCCACCAGACATATTTCTACTGGAATATTAATAATTTTATACAATTTAATGACATATTCAAAAATTTCAGTATTAGACTGTTGTAAATAAGCTTGATAAACTTCCTTGAAATGTTTTTGCTCTTTGTGAATAGTGAAAAGAAATGTAAGCATTTTAATCACGCTACCTTTCCTTTACCCTTTATCATGTGTTATGTCAACTTCTCTTATGGACTAGTTCAGTTATGTGAAATCTGAATTGTTTCAACTGAGATCTGACTGGATTACTTACATTTCTGACAATGGTGAGTATAAACTTGCCGATAAAATGTGATGCGTCTCTTTCCTTTACCTGATGACTTAGCAACCCCGTGCAATAAGTTACCAGTTCTAACTCCAGTTTTTTAAATTTTTTTTATTATTCTTCCATGGATATAGGGGTTGCAGGCAACCCTAATTGTCCTTGAGAAGCTGGTGCTGCTTTATGTTCCTGAATTGTTGCAGGCTATCTGGTTTGAGTGCACCCACAGAGTTGTTTAGGCGGGTGTTAATTTATCCTAGTGAGGGTGATGATATAGTTCCTGAAGTTGTCCTCTAGTCCCTCAGTTATAGGAGGCAAACTCAACCATAATTCAGAATCCTGGACATTTTATGCTGACCACTCTTAGAAAGAGAAAGTGTGGATGTTAAACAAGGACATAATTAAGATTGGGAGTGATGTTTTCTTCCAATTATTGTCAAGGTTCACACATGAATAATGATAGGTGAAATTCTGCAGGAAAACCTCAATCTGTAGAAGCATGCTCCAGAAAAAAAAAAACATGAAGTTAGGAAAGGAGAAATATTGCAGAAATAATGCTTTAAAATTAGCTTGACTCATGCATTTTTAATTTAATGAATGTAGCTGATCTATATTAGCTTACAGAGTTACAGTCAGAAATATAAATGTGAAGTGAAAATGTCTGGTAATCTTAATTAGGAAATGAAGCTCAGATTCAAATCTCAACTCTCATTCATAGTCACACATTTCGGAAGATGAACTTGTCATCCGAAGAAATAAGAGACACCTTTCCAACTCATTCAGCTGTACAATTTACTGCTCAACCAAGAGTCTGGGAGAAGTTCATAAACTCATTCTCTTTAGAAGACAATAACACCTATCGCATTAGCTTACCTGGAGAATTAGAATGTACCAAAATTAATACTTTGAGTGTTGCAATAGCATGTCTTCATCTTTCTTTTTCACAGCATGCAAGGTTTTTCAGTTTGCTTTTTGAAATCTGCAATATCTATGAATAAAAATACATTCTCTGAATTGAGCATATAAAATGATCAAAATAGTTTTCAAAGGTGACAATGCAAATACTCTTTCAGTATTCCAGGGAATAGCTTTTGAGAGAGGTTGTAAATTGTGGCTGTCCATCAACCTGTCTTAGAAAGATAATTGCATAAAATATTTAAAGAAAATTTTCTTAACTTTCTTCATAAGAAACCCAACAGGAATCCAGGAATACCCAGCATTAACAGGATTTCTATCAAAAGCAGATCATCAGGAGTATCCTCGAAGAAATTCCCTTCTTAAAGGTCTCCCAATAGCCTTCCTAAAATTTTGAAAATATTATACTGTCCATATTCTGCCCCACACAAATATCCATTCACCAATTAATCCAAATCTTGCTTAATTACCCGGAGTCTGTATTCTATTGCACATTTATCTCAAAATCCTTGTGCCTATTTACAAATGTCTCTGCTGCAGTTTTGAAACCTTGCAGGTAATGTTACAAATGAGACCTATTATCCTCCCTTTAGTTACTTGTGAAGCCTCCCCTTCCCTGTAATTAATTGTTAGTAACTTGTTTTTGGATCAGTACTGTAATGGAGACTGCCCATATAAATTTGTTCCGCTGAAATTACATCCTCCCATTAGTGTTGGTGCCGCAATAATGCGTGTTTACAACTAATAATTGCATATGTTTATCTCATTCTAGTGTGAGATGACTGTAATTGTTATCCTTTGTCTTTCCTCAGGCTTCCTGATACTCTTGTGAGGCTAGATCTGAAGGGAAACAACATTACAGGAATTTTCAAAGAGTCAGTTGAACATTTGAAGCGGCTACGAGTTTTGAATCTGCGTAATAATAGGTTATCGTCTCTTACCCCTGATGTGTTTGGATATTTACCTCGACTGAGACAGCTTTACCTGGATGGTAACCCCTGGAACTGCACATGTGACCTCATGAAAATCAGAGTCTTATTGACCGCAAGGCAACTGGAGATCAAAAGTGGCTACTGTATAACTCCAGACTATTATCAAGGTGAGACCTGGCTATCTTCCACCAAGATTCTGAACAGCTGCGGATATAATACTCTGCATGGTACAAAAGGAAAGGCATTTCACGAAATTGCCACAAAGAAAGCACAAGGAGACGATAGCTCAAATCTTAATGGTCCAGCTGACAATGAAGATTATTATGACTATGATGCAGACTGAAAATAACCAGCATGACTTTAAAAATTCTGTTTTTGTGATGTAATCAATGTTCCATTGGAACCTGAATTATATCTTTGCAGTTTCTTGGTCTTCTCACTGCTTTTTAAGTCTTATATATGCTTCTAGAATAGATAAATATAGTTTGAAATGTCTTCCCTGAATTTGTTATTTGTTGATCTGCAATTCAAAAATATTTCTGAGTGATTTGTTTTGGTTACTGCATTAATTAGTATGATCTGCGTCAACATTGATTCAATTCTGCTGAGCAGAAAATGATGAAGAATCAAAATTATTAGTTTGATACAACTTTTATAATAGGATAATGTTTTGCCTATTTATTTTTTTTAAATGTGATGCAAGGGAAATAGTTTCCTTTCATAATTTCAAATAAAATGCATATTAAAATTGCTAACAATTAAGACAATCAATAGGTATCTTGAATCCAGACCAGAATTTAAATCAATGTTGTTACCTCATGCAGAACTGATTTATAACTAGTGGCGCTGTTTAACAAACATTACTGTTTTAGTTTGATTTTTTTAAAAATTACATTAAAATAACATTATTGTTTTTCTCCTATTACTGGCTTACTAATATTGAACAGAATTACAAAAAGCAGAAGGAAACTGAAATCAGCAATGTTGTATTTACTTTCTATTGACCTTGGAATAAAGATTTTCTTATTAAAACATTTTATTTTGAGAAGTCATCCATGACTGTTGAATGTAAATTACCACAATCTACCTTTAATTCGGCTACTTAAGAAATCCCACAGAAATTCATATACTGAACCAATTATTTAAACTTCATTGCATGTAGCAACCAAAATAAGACCCTTCAAGTAAGCAAGTTAGGTCTCACAAACCAACTTAGCTATTACCTAATTATTGATGGGATTTAGCTATGATTCCAAAAAATAGCATAGGTCTCTGGATGTTCAGGGTTCAATCCTTGTGCAGTGCTATTCTCTAGAGTTCTGCTGCTGAACAATCCTCAAGATGAAATCCAGTAGGATTTTCTGTCTTGTTAAGCTCATGGTATGAAATTATTTATGACATTTCTGAAGTCACCCAGTCCTTGGTTTGCTTTCTTATCAGGAGTAGCTTCTCTGTTCTTCGTTACATTCGGTGTTAGTTGCCCGTTTGAAACACAGTCTGTCCTGGCAATACTCATTAAATTCTTCTGCAGAGCAAATATTTGTCCTTGTAGCATAAGGCAGCAAGTTATCAAACAGTTGTTAAAACAGTTTGTTTGTATAGCTTCAGCTCCTCCTATTTCCAGGGATGGCTAATAACATGTTGCTTTTAATTCCTCGACCCTTTAAATTAAACATCAAAAGTTAAAACAAACATTTAAAATCTCTAACACATTTTCTTTTGTGGGAATGTGATTGTACACTTATAAAAGTAAGTTTTAGGCCAGCAAGACTGTCCAGTAGAAATTATTGCTAGTTATGATGAAATCTCATTTATTCTTGAATGTACTAGCCCTATCTTCTTTAACCATTCATAGTGCAGAATGAATGGGTCAAAATTGCAAGTTCACTTGGTTGACATTAATTTCAGGTTATTGGCAAGGACTGGGACAAAAAACACTATAGAGGAGTCCAGCATCTCTGACTGCAGCTTTTGCATTCCCACGTATAGCTTCGGCCAGATTTCTTCCACTATAATGAGTGAACAATGACAGCCTCACCTTTGCTCTCATTAGAAATTATGAATTATGATTTATAAGAACATAATAAATAGAAGCAGGAGGCACCTCAAGTCTGCTCCAGCACTCAGCCTTGAATACGTTCATCATCCAACCTTTAATGCTCTCTGGGGCAGATAATTCCTTTTTTTGGGGCGGCACGGTGGCTCAGTAGTTAGCACTGCTGCCTCACAGTGCCAGGGACCGAGGTTCGATTCCACCCTCAGGCGACTGTCTGTGTGGAGTTTGCACATTCTCCCCATGTCTGTGTGGGTTTCCTCTGGGTGCTCTGGTTTCCTCCCACAGTCCAAAGATGTGCAGGCTAGGTGAATTGGCCATGGAAAATTGCAGATACTGTTGAGGGATGTGTAGATTAGGTGGGTTATAGGGGGATGGGTCTGGGTGTGATGCTCTGAGGGTCAGTGTGGACTTGTTGGGCTGAAGGGCCTGTTTCCACACTGTAGGGGTTCTATGAATTCCACAGATTAACAACTTGCTGACAGAAGAAATTCCTCCTCATCACAATGTTAAATTTCTCCACTAAGAGTCGTAGAGTGATACAACACGGAAACTGACCCTTCAGTCCAACTGATGTGTGCCAACCAGACATCCCACACTGACCTAATCCCTTTGCCAGCATTTGGCCCATATCCCTCCATACCCTTCCTCTTCAGATTCCTATCCAGATGCCTCTTAAATGTTGTACTTTTACCAGCGGCCACCACTTCCTCTGGCAGATTGTTCCATACACGCGCCACCCTCTACATGAAAAAGTTACCTCTCAGGTCCTTTTTAAATCTTTCCCCTCTCACCTTAAACCTATACCTCTAAGTTGGACTCCCCACCCTAGGAAAAAGAGCTTGGCTGTTCACCATATCCATACCCCTCATGATTTTATAAACCTCTGTAAGGTCATCCCTCAGTCTCTGATGCTCCAAGGATTAAAGCCCCAACCTATTCAGACTCTCCTACTATAAATCAAACCCTCCAGTCTTGGCAACATCCTTGTAAATCTTTTCTGGACCCTTTCAGGTTTAACAACATCCTTCCTATAGAAGGGTGAGCAGAATTGCATGCACTGTTCTGAAAAGTGGCCTCACCAATGTCCTGTACAGCCACAACATAATATCCCAACCTATATTTCTGATGGCCAGATAACTGTTTTTGCAGTGCAGTCTGAAGTTATGCATCAAGACCATGTAGAAATCTCTGCAAGAATGGCTCAGGTAATTGAAATTTCTGATTGGAAATTCTGCCAAGTCTGGAACTCTCCAAATTAGTCCTTAAAATTGGAGATTTCTGAGGGCTCCAACCCCCTTGTGTTTAATAGTGATCCAGGAAAGATAGTGAATTAAAAATCTGTTCTAACTTCTAGATAATGATTAAAATAAAGCCCTGACGCACCACTGCAGCTCCCCCCCACCATTATCCCCCAACCCCACGCCACCCCTGGATTCCTGACACAAAACATCGCCTTCAGTCTGACCCTGCTGGACACAACACCACTACCCACCCCCAGAACTGATGGACCTCTAACTGGACACACTCAAGCAGACAGTCCCTCGTGATCACATAAGGTCCCCTGAGCTGACACACTTAATACTCCCTTGAATCAATGGGCCCCTGACTCAATTTTCCCATGATTCGACATCCTCTTGACCCAATATCTTTCCTAACCCGACATCTCCCAAGACAAGTTGTTCCCCTACCCTGACAACGCCCCAACCTGACATCCCCCCTGACATGACACTCTCCTGACCCAACATCTCCCTGATACTGATTTCACCCGATCTTCCCACCAATCCAGTCCGACACGAAACCACCTGCTGGATCCAAGATACAAATTTTCCCAACCTACTCTAAGCATCCATCCATTTAATTGGCATTTAACCCCAAATCCACCAACAAACCTCATCCCTCACCCATCTGTTACCCAATTCCACTAAAATTTGACACCTTACCCATCACCCATCAAGTTCCTTACCCTCCCACCTAATTGGCAAAATACCTCTCATCCACCTATCACATTCACCCTGCACTGACATGCTAACCACATACTGCCCTAACCCCTACCTGGTACCCTATATGTCATTCCTCTAGCATCCTATCCTCATACCCACCTCGCACATTACCCTCTGCTTACCACTCACTTACCTGACACACTTACCTTTCCTGTCCTTTCAATAATTTAACTCCTGAAATATAGCAACAAGTAGCATAAAGAAAAGGCCATGCCTCAGCCTGCAACACAGTTCCTGTGCTGAGTGGATTTCTCCCTCATTCCAGGTAATAGATGCATATGGGACAGGCCAGACACGGAAATTTTCAGGTCAGTGTGTAACATTAAAGAAAATCACTTTTGATCAAATCTGTTCTGACAGTAATCGGAAAATTTGGACCACTCTGTTTTTTCTATTCTTTCCCCAGATTTGCCAATCACACTTTGTTCCACATTACACTACAACTGCCAAACCTTTGTCCACCCACCTAACCCACCTCGATCTCTTTGCAAACTCTTTGTGTCCTCTTCACAGCTTGGTTTCCTATCTTTGTATCGTCAGATAATTTGGCTATATTTTGTTATCCCCCTCCAGCCCTATTCACCCTTAACCTAAATTCTTTCCTTCTGTAGTAACCTTTTGTCTGACACCTTATTGAATGCATTTTGGAAACTCAAACAACTACAGCTACTGGATATTTATCCAACCGGCTTGTTCCATCCCCAAAGAAACTCTTAATAAATTTGTCAAACATAATTTTCCTTTTATGAAACTATGTTGATGTCCATTACCAATTTTTTAAAGAATAGGCTCCAGCACTTTATCAATGACAAAATGTTAAGATTTTTGGCCTATTATTTTCTGTATTCTCCGTCCTTTCTTGAATAGACATATGACATTGGCTGTTTTACTATCCCATAGATCTTCCATGAATCTGGGGAATTTTGAAAGATTACAACCAATAAATCCAACATCTCTGCAGCCACTTCCAAAACTCCCGGATTGAGGCCATCAGATCAAGGGGAGTCATCAACCTTTAGTCCTATTAGATTTTCTGACACCTTTTTCTCCTGGTACGATTGTGTAAGGCTCTTCTCCTTCAATTCTTGTCCTCCTGTTCTGAGGAAGGGTCACCGGACCCGAAACGTTAACTCTGTTCCTTCCCTTCACAGATGCTGCCAGACCTGCTGAGCTTTTCCAGCAACTTTGTTTTTGTTGTCTCCTCCTTCAACCCTTGATTTTATTTTATTCTTGGGATGTATTTTATGTCATCTACAAGAAGACAGATACAAAATAATGCTCAAAGTCTCTGCCATTTTCTGTTTCTCATTAGTAATTCCCAGCCTCATCCTCTAAGGGACTAACAGTCGTGCT